AAAAGAAAAAAAAAAAAGAAAAAAACCTAAGAGAAGTTGTTTTCCATCTATCATTCCCGTGGAACAATTATTGGATCAAGGTATGTGGATAATTACTGATAAGCTTTAGAGTGTCAGCCTGGAATGTGGCCCTAGCTAAGCCAAAATATAATCAAAAATAAAAATAAATTAGATGACATATATATGGTGTATTTTCAATATATTTATTATTATCAGTACTATTTTGTATACTGTATCTGTTAACATATATTTAATTCCATATAATATAGTATTTGCACAAAATAACTATTTGATCATGACCCATTTAATTAAAAATTAAAAATAGACAAAAAGAGGGTTTATATTGTGAATAGATCAATTAGGGCACCAAAAGAGGAGTACTACTTTTAAGAAAAAAAGAAGGAAATTAAATTAATGGTTTACTAAAAAGAGCCGGTAATTAATAATTAATCTAATGGACTTAATTAATTTATCTCTGCCTTCCTACTAATTCTCAGTTTCTAAGATTTTTTTATATTTTTACCGAAAATTCTACAATAAAACTTCAAATGGGAAAAGAGGAAAAAATATTATAACTAGAGATATATATAGGAAGAGAGAAAGATATAACTAGAATTAAATTAAATAAATCACTTGTTTAAGAAATGTTCACATCCATCTGATTCTCGTTCACGGAAGAACTGTTTGAATTGATAAGTTGGTGGGACATGTATTGCTACAGGGTCCATTGAGGACGATGGGCTTCATGTTCGCCGTATTATTCTTTTCTTGCAGCCATGAATAAGGGAACAAGCTGACAAATAATTGTAAGCAACTTATATTATTGATTGTGAGCAATAATAATTAAAATAACGACAAGAATATCTGTCACTATAAGCATGCATAAGATGATAACAACTCAAGAGAGAAGAATGTACTGTTCGATAAAGATTTGTTCTGAGGGTGTGTCGCTCATTAATTAGTAAATTAATTAAATTAAGCAAATAATGGTGCTTAATCATATTTCACCTCATGACTATGAAAAATACCATGGACATCACATGTATGAATTAATTAAGTCAGCATTAATCCTTCAATTTAACGTCCATAATTCCACACCCCTAGATCTTCGATTCCTCTCTCACATCCAGATTTGCTTCATTTATTCATCTTCTCTCCCCTTTAATTTTCTTTTTGATATCTAAATAGAGAGTCCCGATCACCTGCCAATTAACAAAACACGTTCCAACCCTCTACCAACATAATCTCACACCGCCCATTTCATATATGGCAGGTCCAACTTTTATGGTGGGTCTCAATCTCATAATGAGATGTGCGATGTTAGATGAAGTTGGTAGAGAGTTGGAACGTGATTTATTGGTAGAAGATTTCAACTCCTAAACACAGAGAGAGAGAAAGCCAGGCTGCAATTAAACTAACCTTCCCTTGAATATCATCACCATGTCTCCCCAGTATAGAGAGAATCTGGACCCACCATAAAATAGATCTGACCTAGATGATCACCTGTCTAACAAATTAAATCAGAAAGATAAGATGAATTTCGTCCATACATATATCATTAGTGAATTATTTTTGGAACTACTGTACTAGTGTCTTGTTCATCATAATTAATTACATAGTAATCTAACTTTCTAAGTAAATAGAATCATTTGATATGATTGTGCTGATTGTTGGCCTATACTACTGTTTTAATTAGAGTGAGACCCATCTGATGGTGGATCCCAAGCTTCTTAATTCGGACAATGGCAGCTCAATAGGCCACCTCACTGCTGTTTTGATGAGAGGGCTCTCATTGTAGAATATAATAATAGCATGGGTTTGAAGAAATTTGTGGCAATCCACACTGATGAGGGTTAACTACTTCAAATTGCTTTCATTCATGGTAAAGTATATGTGATTAATCCCGAGGAAAAAGAAATAAAAGATAGATAAATCCGATCCAGAAAAAAATTATTAATAATAATAATAATAGGGTTCAAAATAATTGCAGTTTGCATAATATAATTGCGAAATTTACGGTTAGAGTATTTCCGCTTTTGGCGGGTGAGGTTGATATTGTAGAATGAGTCACGGACTCGAATTCCCGTCTCTGCAACGTCCAATTAATTTCACTCTCATTTCAGGCATCTTTTTAATTTTGTTTAGTATACTCCCAGAAGTTATGTGTTTGTCACGGACAAATCTTGTTCATCCTATTTTAAAATTTTAAAGGGCCCATGAAGTTTATGACAATSATAAAAATCTTCCCTATATTTTTATTTTAACAAAAATTTCCCTTTTATTTTTGAAAAATTCAACAAATATTCCCTTTCCGTTAATGACTAAAACGGAAAATGTTAAAAGGATTATATTTTTTTAAAATACCTATTTTACCCTTTTATAAATTAGTGTGAATCTGTTTTTACTAAAATAGCCCTACACTCCCCCTCCAACCTTCCCTCTTCTTTAATTTCCCTTTGATTCTATCAATCTCTTTTACTCTCTCCAACATTGCGGCTTCTGCTTCTCTACTCCTCACCCCGGCTGTAACAACCATACTGGTGTGGTTGTCCCCAAAGAACACCCTCATTGACAATGTAACTGGCGACAAGCTTGCAATAGACGTGATAGCCCTTCCCTCTGCGTACAGATCAGAGCCTAGCCCAATTGTCGCCGCCCATCACTTCCTCTTCTCGTGTGCCCCAATTCCCCTCTTGGCCCATCTGGGGGGTGGTGTCAAGAGAATGGTGGGCTTCAGTCGCAATCGAATTGGATTACCGTCGCAGCTTGCAGCAGCGCTTAATTTCAATCGGAAGTTCGCTATCTGTTTGCCATCATCAACCTCATCGGATAGAGTTGTTTTCTTTGGCAATGGGCCTTATACGAAGGTTCCAGGCATTGACCTATCAGAGACACTTCAGTTGGAGAAGAATCTTGTACAGTTGGATGTGGATGCTTCGAGACTGGGGTTTAGTTCTTCACTCTTGACCCTACAAAACGACGTGCTCCGACTTCAACCTCCATCCGATTCGTAGAGGCTCCTCAGTTTTTCTCTCTCTCTGATTTATTAGGATTTGTATTAACAATCATGCACTGTTTTTTTGGACTAACTACGTGAATTTTAATTTACAGACATGTGAATGAAATTTTACTTTTTCCATCAAAGGAAATGGATGGGTTCAATAATTCAGAGGCACATTTCCATATAACAGTATTACACCAAAAAATCTAGGAAATTAAATTTTAATCGGATATTCAAACCTCAACTAGAAACTGCGAAAAAGGTAATTGGAAAACTCACTCCATTCTGCTTGCAATAGTCGACATCCGTCCAACAATCCTCCCCTTTGATAACATCAGCAAGCCAGGACCGAATTGGTATGGTGGCAAAGATCGATGACGTTACCACCATCCGTCTCACCCCACACTCCTTCGCCGCTTTCAGCACATTAATTGTCCCTTTGATCACCAAATCCAAAAGCTCTCTTAATTAATTAAATAAAATTAATTTTCATTTGTTCTGCCTTAGAGCCTCCGAGAAGGACCTCAGGGTCTTCGACTTTATCCACAATGTAGGGGAAGCAAGGTGGAATACACTGACGGTAGACCTGTTCATGGGTCGGGTGGCCCAACGGGCCGGCCCGGCACGACCCGACCCCCAGACGGGCTTGAACAGGCTTTTTGACCCGCGGGCTTAACCTCAGGCCAAAAAGCCTGACCCGCATAAAATTCGAGCCGGGCTCGGGCTTTGCCAAAATAGCCCGGCCCGGCCCGACCTATAGTTAAACCTAAGTAAAAACCCTATGTGATGTCCATTTGAATAAATTTTTTGATTTGAGAATGTTGTTGATTCACTTGTAGGCCCATTGTTCATTTAAATAGGGGAAAAAAACATCTAAATTAAAATAGAAAATGTCCATTTGAATAGGGAAAATTTTGAATTTCTTTTATTAGGTCGGGCTTCGGGCTTTTTATCAGGGTCGGGCTCAGGCCCAAGTTGTAGGCCCGTTGGTCGGGCCGGGCTCGGGCTCGGGCCTAACATTTTTATGTTAATAAAGAGTCAAAGCCCGGCCCGAGCCCGGCCCGGCCCGGCCCGGCCCATGAACAGGTCTAGCTGACGGTTCCATTAATCATGGCCACAAGAGAATCGTAGTCAAGGAGATCGATCTAGAAGAGGCGGAGAGACGGGGACTCTTCTCCTTGTATAATCGATGTGCCATTATCTTCTAAACTCAATAGCGGTCAGCGAGGTAGAACCAAATTGGTCGAGCGGGACAGTGTTCGAGCAGCATCGTGAGGAAGAAGATGAACAATGTTTGGGCAGATAATGGAGTTGCTGAGATGGGGTTATTTTAATTCATAAAAGGGTAAAATAGGTATTTAAAAAAAATATATCACCTTTTTAACATTTTCTGTCTTGATCATTCATGGAAGGGAGGTATTTGTTGAATTTTTCAAAACTAGAAGAGAAGTTTTTGCTAAAATGAAACTATAGGGGAGATTTTTATGATTGTCAAAAATAGAAGGGAGGTTAGTTGTATTTTACCCAATTTTAAATGATGATTTTTTTATTCGTCCTTGAGTCTCCGAAGTCAACACGTGGCAAGATGTTCTTGACAACTTGTCTTGTTATGTACTGTCAATATCATTTCAATGATGATTATAACAAATTTCATTAACATTTACAAAGTGGCAAGTAAGAAGTAACAGCGTTTCCGCTTGTTTTCTTCAAATT